AGAAGTTGGTAAAAATCTTCAATTTCCTTAACTTTGGCATTAGTGGTTGGCACATAAATTTGAATGATAGTATTAACTGGTCATATTAACTGGTCTTCCTTGTCGGCGTATAGATATTATCCTATCACTGACAGCATTGTACTTCAGGATAGATCTTGAAATGTTATTTTCAATGATGAATGCAATGCCTTTCCTCTTCAATTTGTCATTCCTGGCATAGTAGATCATATGATTGTTTGACTCAAAATGGCCAATACCAGTCTATTTCAGCTCACAAATGCCTAGGATATGAATCTTCATGGGTTCCATTTCATTTTTTATGACTTCCAATTTTCCGACAGTTATACTTCCTACATTCTATGTTCTGATTATTAATGGATTTTTTTTTGCCATTTGTTCTCATTTTGAGTCATGCCATATCAGAAAATGAAGGTCTTGAAAGCTTTATTCCATTCACATCATTAAGGTCGACTCTACTTTGAGGAGGCAGCTCCTCCCCAGTCATATTTTGAGTGACTTCCAACCTGAGGGGCTCACGTGCCGGCACTAAATCAGACAATGCTCCGCTGCTATTGATAAAGTTTTCACTGTCCAATTTTTTCAGAAGTAGACTGTCAGGTCCTTCTTCTCTGTCTGTCTTAGTCTGGAAGCTCCGCTGGAAACTGTCCATCAAGAGTGTTCCTGCTGGTATTCGAAATACCGCTGGCAAAGCTTCCAGTATCATATAACACATAAACCACCACAGTATTGCAAACTGACAGATGCATGTTGGTCTGTATAACAGTATACTAATAATAATGCTGATTGAACACAGGATTTTTTTGAGCTTTTACTATAGAGCATGCACTGTTCTTTGCATTTTATATATAGTTTAGTACTTAATACTCATAACGACGTTACGGGATAGTGCTATATTATTATTTACAAAGGTGAGGCATAGAAAGATTAAGTACCTTGCCTAAGTTTATATAAATAGTAAGTAGCCAAACCTGAAATCTAATCTGCCAAATACTAGATTCTCCTAGTGTGTTAAAAGAAGTTAATCATTTTGGTTTAAGATTGTTAAAGATTATCTCAGGGCAATAGTTTTGGGGGTTCATCCAGCCCCTATGGCTCAAGAGAGGCTAGAGTCCATGAGAATTTGAAATTGTGTTCTGCATTTTTCCCTTTTAGATCAGGATTCTTGTACAGAATCTTTGCTCAAAATGTTCAGTAATGGTAGCTGGGCACCATCCAGTTCTGGTCTCAGGGCAAAGGAGGCAGTTGTTCATGGAGGCAATTAGCCACACATTCTGTATCCTCCTATTCCTGACTCTCCGTCTTCCTCTGTTGCTCCAGGTGGGTAGAGACCAATTGTTGGGCCTTGGATGGCTGCTTGCAAGCTTTTAAGGCCCCAAGCACTATGCAACAGAGTAGGAGTTAGAAGCACTAAACATGTTACTAGGACAATTGACTGGGATATCCCATGAAACCATGACCCTAAGCCTCCAAACCAAGGAACCAAATTCCATGAGGTGTCTGGTTGTACCTAAGCAGCCTCAGCATCCACTCTTTTTTGTTGTCGTCACAAATATATTACACAATATCCCCTGAAGTTTTCTTAAAAACCAAACAACAGTTTGGTTTAACTAGTAAAAAATGTCCACTTTGAGCATTATGCTCTTTTAAGAACTATCTATGTGGGATCAAAGTGTGAACAGCAAATCTAAAGATCACACAGGAACTGTACGGGGCAGTGAGTTTATGTTAATGGAAAAGGAACAACTCAGGAAAGGGTGAGAATGGTTGCACAACTCGAAGAATGTGAACAGTGTCACTGAATGGTACAGGGAGAAATGGTTGAACTGATGTATGTTTTGCTGTGTATATTCTCAATGACAACAAAATAAATTTTTTAAAAATTAAGGAAAAAAACTAGCTAAATAAATAAGTAAGTAAGTTAATCTTTCTCACTGGTCTCCATTTCAAAAAGCATGTGTTCTATTCCAAATTGGAATATATACGTGTGAGTGTAAAAGGAATATATGTATTCCTTAAACCCTGGTGGTGTAGTGGGTAAGAGTTCGGCTGCTAACCAAAAGGTCGGCAGTTCCAGTCTACCACGCAGTCCTTGGAATCTGCTCCTATGGGGCAGTTCTGTTCTGTCCTACAGAGTCGCTATGAGTCGGAATAGATTAGACAGCAATGGGTTTGGTTTTGGTTTACACCTACACACATATTTCAACACACACAGATACACACTCCAACACATACACATATATTACTATATACATACACATATATATATATGCTATAAATACATATAAATAAATTATTCTAGGTAATTATTGCTTCTTTTCATTTTTTATCTTTTACTAAAAAAAAAAAGTAGTGATTTTTCTTGATTGGTGTATCATAAACCAAAAAGCAGTACTTAAACTAAAACTATGTTTGTCCTGGATCTCACAGTAGATTTCTCCATTAGATGATCTGCCATCCGAAATGTGGACTTCTGGCTCATACAGAAAAGTGTGCAACATGATAGTATTTTTATAAATGTCACAAGGTACACACTCTTGTTTGTTAGGCAAAAATGGCAATGAGCATAAACTCAAAAATAAGCACTTTATAGTAAGTCCTCATTTGGAAATAATCACTTTGGTTTTTAAGGCATATTCAGAAATACTTTAAGTCTATTTTATGACAATGCTAGCTTGAATAAGCCAACTTCAAGAACCTCTGCTGTGGTTTCTAAGAAGTCTATGCTATTTCATTGTATAAAATAAAACAAAACAAAAAAAACTAAAAAACCAAAATTGAACCACAAATTTTTGAAATCTTTTTTTGGGCAGAAATAAATTAAGGCTAAGTAATAAATATAATGTCGGCTCTAATTCAGTGCCATTCGGAGATGAAACAAATGTTGCATTCCATTTGGAAACCAGTAATTATGTGCTTGTTTCCACGCTCTCAATATCTCCATGTGGGCTAGTTCACCACCAAAAAAACTTATCAAATTCTATTGATCTCTACAATTGGCACCTACTTCCACAAGTATTATGAAGAATCAGATAAGACACAGAACACATTGCTAGCTACAAAAATGCCAATGATACAGAGGCCAATTATTGACACTTTTTGTCCCAATCAATGCTCACAAACTGGTGGCCAACCATGTTTAACCTAGAGATATGTTTTGTTCACCACATACGCTATTAAAAAAAAAAAAAAAAAGTCAATCAATATTTAAAGAAAAGAAAATTTTATATAAAGTCCCAGATTTCTGCTTTTCCGTGAAGAAATCAGGAGTTCTGGCTAAAACCGGGGCCCACATTTCCCAGGGTAGCATTCAGGAAGAACTGAATAGATGCAGTCCAGTTTCGATAAGGATTTGCTTTTAGTTCACTCTAGTCACAACCACTCCTATTACTCCACTATCACTAAGGCTATTTCTAAGGGATCCTGATGGCACAAGGATTAAATGCTTGCCTGCTAACCAAAAGGCCGATAGTTTGAATCTGAAGGAGAAACACATGGTGATCCGCTTCCCTAAAGATTACAATCTATAAAACCCTATGGGGTAGTTCTACTCTGTCACATGGGGTTGCTATGAGTCGAAATACATTCGATGGCACCCAACAACAACAAGGCTATTTGTAGTAGAGGAATGCTTTTCTAAAATGTCAGATCATTTCAAGAATAAGAGAGTCAAATCATATTTCTTTCTTGTACTTGACCTGCTTGATTTATTTAACTTACCTCCCTGGAAAAACTGACTTCTTACAACTTTGTGACACCTGCTCTGCATGGCAGCAGTCATTTCTACATGTGAAGAAATTAGGTAGGTAACTTGTTTGTAGAAATATAGGGAATTAGTGTTGGGACCCAACAGATGGGCTCTGATGGTTAGTCTTATGCAAAAAATATTCAAAGGAACAGGCTTACATTTCCACCAAGATTTATATCCCATGAATACCACCCCTTTCACATCTTTAATATATCAATACAATTCTATTACTAGGAAACTTCCAAATTGAATGATCAAGATTACCTATAATATTATTTTATGTGTCCATTTGTCTACTAAGTATTAGTATCATAAAGCAGGGACTTTTATTCCCTAGAACTCAGAAAAGTGCTTGGCACATGCTGTTAGTTGCCCTTGAGCTGACCCTGACTCATGGTGACCTTATGTACAACAGAACGAAACACTGCCCAGTCCTGCACCATCTTCATGACTGTTGGTATGTTTGAGTTCTTTGTTGTGGCTACTGTGTCAAGCCACCTCATTGAGGGTTTCCTTGGTTTTCACTGGCCCTCTACTTTACCAAACATGATGTCCTTTGGAAAACCCTATGGATCACAACAGAAGATTGCCTGGCACATAGTAGTTGCTTAATAAATGTGTTGCATGAATGGTTAACTTAAAACTGCTCTCTGTGCTGGGTGTCTTGCACTTGTCTCTCTAGAGCTGATCCCCCGCCCACCCACCCCCACCCCCGTTTCACTCTGCTCTGAGCCCCGGAAGGCTTATTTGTGTGAGCTATGTCACTGGCATCAATGGATTCCTTGACTTTAGAGATCTGGTTTGGCCAATGGGATGCATGGGCAGGATATTGCTGGAAGAAGGAAAGTGAAGTAGAGTATTTAAAGCCCTGATTCCCTTCCTGATAGGTTATTAGGACTGCTTACGTCTCTCTATTAAAGGTCACAGCTCCTGTCCAGCAAGTCTGTCCACAAAGCATTTTCTGGGCATGGTTTTCCATAATTGTTCCTTCTCCCCATTACTAGCCCACTGTCTCTGCCCACACCTTTGTAAATAGTCCCTTTATTAATCTCTTCCCAAATTATCTACCTTGAATGTACCATCTGTTCCTGCCAGGCTCTTAACTATTACACATATCATAAAGCCTGTTGCAACCAAATTATTCTCTCCCCTCCCCATTACAAAATGATAGAGGGGAAGCAGTTCTTCATTAAACAATTTTTTTCACCTTTACCAGTAACTGAGAGATCTTCACCTGTATATGGCAGAAGCCGGGTGAGAGCCGGTGTCATAGCTGGCACGAACACGTCCCCGATACAGCTCTACCGCTATGTGGTCTTTGTCACCCTTATACAGGAGGATTCCACTGTCTTCATCTGTGGCAATCTAGTAGGAAGCAACCGTGGCATTACTAGGATGCATAGTCAACCAAACCCCTTCATCAAAAAGAAAGATGAGACTGTTAAATGAAGATTTGTTTCTATGGTCTTACTGTTTCAAGAAAAATTATACTGCATGCTGAAATTATCTGAAAGATGAGTGGTTCCTAAATTACTCTGTTGCAAATAAATTCATAAAGAAATTTAAAAAGAACAACAACAGATACTCATTACGTAAGTGCCTTGGATGTGCTTAGAACTTTCTGTGCTGGAGATTTTCACTTAAACCTCCTCTTTTGCTCCTATTATATAGACTTTTATGGTATACATGAAATGTGACAACAATGTACAACACTGATTTTCAGATTCCATTAAACAAATTCTTTACAGTTATGCAACACACAGGGGGAGATCTCTGTTTTTACCTTGCTCTCTGGACTTTTTGGTTTTCTGAGGGACTGGTTAAATAAAAATTAGGATTTAAGCTTGGGAATACCACTGTGTACGTCTCATATCAATTCCACGTGGAAAACACTGGGAGGCAGGGAGACAGGCTTCTTAAAGAAGGCCTGTCACCTTCCACAGTCCCATTCATCATGACTTCAGAAGAACCCCTCCCCTTTACTTGGGTGTCAGTGTAAACCAAATAACAAGGGTCAGGACTACAGGACACTGGATGAAGTTATTCAATTAAAAATCTTTTATATTAAGGCTACCACACTGGATGCCTTCTCTCATTTAATAAAAACAACACATATGGGGAAAAAAATCTTTAAAAAATCCTGCTAACCAGAGAAAACAAGCATGTAGGCCCAATTTGCCCCATAGGCCCTAAATTTATTACCCCTAATCTAACCTGAGCCCTGGTGGTGCACTGGTTAAGAGCTTGGCTGCTAACCAAAAGGTCTGCAGTTCAAATCCACCAGCCGCTCCTTGGAAACCCTATAGGGCAGTTTTACTCTGTTGTATAGGGTTGCTATGAGTCAGAATTGACTCAACGGCACCTAACAACAACAATCTAGCCTAGGAGCCCTGGTGGCACAGTGGTTAAGACCTCGGCTGCTAACCAAAAGGTTGGCAGTTCAAATCCACCAGCTGCTCCTTGGAAACCCTATGGGGCGTTTCTCCTCTAACCTATAGGGTCACTATGAGTTGGAATCAACTTGATGGCAATGGGATTTTAATCTAGCCTAGGTGTCCCTGCATGGTACAACACAGTTAATGTGCTCAGCTACTAACAGAAAGGTTGGCAGTTCAAGTCAACCCAGAAGTGCCTTGGAAGGAAGGCTTGGTGATCTACTTCAAAAAAGTCAGTCACTGAAAACCCTGTGGAGCACAGTTCTACTCTGACACACCAAGGGTCGCCATGAGTCGAAATGACACACATGGGGTTGCCATGAGTCAGAATCAAAGCGATGACTCTTTTTTTTTTTTTTAAATCTAGTCTAATCTCTTCCAGAGAAATTGGAGTGACTTTCTCTAAATCTCCACAGTAACTTGGTGGGAAAATTTCAAAGTTGTTGGTTAATTTCATGCTAATTTTTAAAGGTTCTATGTGAAAAGCTAAAAGGTAGTGGTTAAATACTGTGCCGAGGTGCACTGCCACACCTGTTAGTGTTCTCTTCCTGTACACTGCTCAGCTGCATGTTTCCTAAGTAAAGCCTCCTCTGTCCCAAACCTGAACTTCACAGTGATAACAATCAACGAATAAAATGTCTCTGTTGTTGTTAGTTGCTGACGAGTCCATTCTGACTCACGGCGACTCCACGTATATCAGACAGAGTAGAACTGTGCTCCATACGGTTTTCAGTGGCTATGACTTTTTGGAAGCCGACTGCAAGGCCTTTCTTTGGAGGCATCTTTGGGCGAGTTCAAACCACCAACCTTTTGGCTAGTAGTTGAGCAATGATACTCTGTTGCTGTTGCTGCTGTGTTGTTTCATAGGACCAATAAACCAAAAACCAAATCCGTTGATGTCAAGTTGATTCCAACTCATAGCAACCCTATAGGACAGAGTAGAACTGCCCCATAGGGTTTCCAAGGAGGGGCTGGTGGATTCAAACTGCCGACCTTTTGGTTAGCAGTTGAGCTCTTAGCCACTGTGCCACCAGGGCTCCACCTAAGTGACTAAAAATGCCTGGTTCCCATTTAGTTTTGAAAAGAGAAATGCTGAAGAAAAGAATTACTAAAGCTTTTTAAACCTCAAGGAACATTTTCTGTCGTTGCAACATTCATCCTTTAACTTTCTATTTAAAAAATATCCCTCACAAGCTACTACAGATGTTCAGTCTTTGAAGCAGAATTTGGCTTAGGATCAGATCAACTCTTGCTAGAGGGGAATCTTACCTGAAGAGTGATGTTCGTTTGAGGTCGAACTTTGGCTGAAGGGATTTGAAGGTAAGATTCTTTGTTTACAAAATTCACACTGACCAATTTTTCACACTTCTCTCCCTGGTAGCCGGGTAAACACTGGCATATTGGCTCATTTATCCTGATAATGCACTGAGCTCCGTTCTGACAATCGAAATTATCACAGGGGCTGGTACGAGGGAGGACCATGGGTGGAGCAAACTCACAGAACAAGCCACTGAAGAGTAAATAGCAAGAAGTATATGTTAATTATTATTATTATTTTTACTTAATTACCAATGTGAATTGAGTCCTGCAAGACCTAACTTAAAACATAAACTCTATATTTCTGCTTTTACCTGTAACCTTCGGGGCAGATGCAGGTATAGCCATTTACTGCATCGGTGCAATGGGCTCCGTTTTTACACTTGTTATCTTGACAGTCGTCAAAATCAATGTCACAATGCTCGCCTATGTATCCTGGAGTACAGTCACATCTGTTTGAATAAGCAGATAAATGGTTTCATACTGAAATGAGCTGAAGTAAGTAAAACAATTGCATTTCATTAAAAAAAAAATCTTTACACAACATATTTGGAACAGTCTCACAGTATCCAAAAATAAATGGATGCCTAGAAAATGGCACTGCTCTGCAAAGTATTCTTGGTTTCTCACTGTCATCATCAGATGAGTGAAGATTTTATCTCCCTGATGATACAGCATGTCCGTAATCCAAATAATAACAGAATGAATGCAGCCAAGGTCTTTTTCATCCCCTCTTCTGCACTGTATTTGCCTACAGAATCCTCTATTTTCAACTCTGCCTAATTCACTTAAGCCCTTGGGATGATTAAAGTGCTAGGTTGTAAAATTTACTGACAAGATTAAGCATATTTAAACATGTGATTAACATGTTTTCTTTTCATATATAGATTGGAGGCATCTGAACAAAATGTAATTTTAAGGAAAGCAAATATGTTAGCTTTGGAAACCCTAATTCTCAATGAACCCAGACAATTCTTATGACAGAATGGTGTTAATCTAGCGGGGTGGGATAGAGGAACTGATGCAAAATCTGTGGGGCCAATCCCATGGGCAGCTTTTCAACCTGTCCACTTGGGTGATGCAGGAGCAGGGGATCTCAGCAGCACAAATGGGTAGGAGCTGGGGGTGATAAGAGAGTGGACATTCCTCTAGAAATTCCTCTGTGTCAGGCCCTGCTCTGAGCACTTTGCATAGGATTCACTGAATCCTCACTACAGCCCTGTGACACTGGTGATACTATTGTCCCCACTGTTGTTGTTGCTAGTTGTTGTTGAGTTGGCTCCCACTTAGGGAGACCTTATGTGTAACAGAACAAAAAAAAAACACTGCCTGGTCTTGCACCATCTTCGTAACTGCTGGTATATTTGAGTCCATTGTTGTCGCCATTGTGTCAATCCATCTCTACATTACCAAACATGATGGCCTTTTCTAGTGATTGGTCTTTCCTGATGATGCGCTCAAAATAAGTGAACATCCTCACCATACTAAAGGGATAAGAGCTGATGTACCTTTCACAAGAACACTCATCTTCTAAGTGCCTTCACCAGGAATCAAACCCAAGCAACTGATAAGAGAGCTCAGATTTTCTTACCACTGCACTGCACTGCACTGTTGGATAATTAAATCCTCAGGGCTCCTTTAAACCTGCCCTTCTCCAGTGTTGACCACTGGAGCTTCTAGCTATGACACCAAGTATCTAGGACTTTATAGTTGCTTAAGGAACCCTGGTAGTGCAGTAGTCAAGAGCTCGGCTGCTAACCAAAAGGTTGGCAGTTTGAATCCACCGGTCGCTCCTTGCAAACCCTATGGGGTAATTCTGCTCTGTCCTATAGGGCTGGTATGAGTTGGAATTGACTTGACGGCAATGGAGGTTAAGGGAAAACAGTATGGCATGTGCAATGTTTTTCAAATTATGCAATGAGGAGCTACAGGGACTCATTGAACCTCTATAGGCATGGCTACAGAGGGGTACGGGACTTCTGGTAACCTCTCTCTGTCCATCACCTTAAAAGGCTCCCCTTGTGATTCTGGTTTTACACATTGGGCTTCCATAAACATTTTTGTTTTTGTTTTAGGAGAGGGTTCACTGACTTAAAAACAAACAAAGCCAGAAAACTACCGCTAAGCTCCAATTTGGGCTTTTCAATTAGACAGAAGTAGGTTTGTATCCTGGCTTCACCCTTAAGTAAATGAGATCTTGACTGTTAACTTAGTTTCTCTAAGCTTTTGTTTCCTCCTCTTAACATGTATAGCATAGTAATTCCCACCTTACAGGTTTAAAATAGTAAATAAAACAATGCCTGTAAAGTAATTAGTGTAGTGTTTGACATATAATAAATGATAAACGAATATAATTCCATGCGTTTTCATAATTCTGTGTATGCCTTTATAGTTTAGTCTCCACTAACTACCTATGTTTCTATTTCAAAGCCATTAGGATAGAAGTGAAACAGCACAACTAAAACACCCAGATGAATGTGGACATTCTTGAATGCCAAGAGTTTGGGGTAAAAATTCAAAATTAGGATTTCAGAGTTATTTCTGGAGAGCTGATGAATTAAAAGAACTAGGAGTGTATACCCTCTAAGGGTAACAGACTTTCAGCTCTGCATGTATAAATTAAGGAAAAAAAAAGAGCTCTCTGTAGAAGCACGCTTGCTCTGCAGCCAGTTGGTTTTAATGCTAAATCATAACCAAGCAAAGTAAACAAGTCTCAAGTTAAATGGACCCTAAGTGGCCATACACATTCTCAAATAGATGGACAAGGCCTGAGAAGAGAACCTCCATCAATGCTAATGGGAGCAGAGCAGCTGAAGTACCAAGCATTAAAAGAAGAAATGCTTTGAAACATTTTAAATTATTTATCCGAGAAAAGAAATCAAAGCCAAAGGTAAGAGAGCCACACATTGACCACAGTTGAATGTCTAAGAGCTCTTTTATATTCTGTCCTCTACAAATTATTTTTTCAAGCCCATTAAATGTTGGTGTCGCATTATGATCAACATTTTTGTCTTTCTTTTGCTCCTCAGATCAAGTTTCAAACTAGAAAGAATCGATGTAAATAGAAATTCCTTCAAGTCTGTATTATCAATAAAACCTATCACATTCCCTCAGCTCTATCATCTGACAAGGGGGGAGGAAGAAAGCAAAGAATATTAAATATACGGTCTAAAAGCCCAAACAGTGACTAAGTAAGATGCATGCTTGAAAATACTGCTTATGGCATATTATAGTCTAAAACTACCTAAAAGCAATTTAGGAGATTTATGAGGTATATAATAAAACAAGAGAAGTAAAACCAGCTCTGTTAGCTTAGAAATAAGAACATGAATTTGAAGTAACAGTACAACTTATCCAAAGAAAATTTGTCAGTAGAGGTTTTCTTCAGCAGCTTCACATCATGTTGGTCTTTAAGTCCATTTTCTTTTTACAACTCCCTTTCTCATTATGTGCAATTATTTATCACATTTTACTCAAATAACGGTGCGCATTCTATGTTTTTTGCCAGGTATTTTCATAAATGTAATATGCTAATTCTTTTTTTTTTTTTTTTACGGCAACGTGAAAAAAATATTGGCATAGCACTCTAAGAAAATATTTCGTGGTGGAGGGCGTGGTTGGCAAAAAAACATAAAACACGTGTTATCGGTGTAAAAATATGGTATATACACACACATACACACACACTATGGTAGTAATAGCATGCACTATGGCTTAATCTGTTTATCTGTTTTAGTCACAAATTGTGACTGAAAATCATGAGTTCCCAACTTAGCTAATCCATAGTCCAGCAAAAGGTATGTTTAAAAGTGTGCAAACCAACTGAATAGTGAAAGAGATACTTAATTAAACATTAGTCTTTCTGAAGATGAATGCTTTTATTTCTGAAGTTTCTACCATATCACTAATAATTTATCTTATAATTACAATGCACAGAGCACTGCAAAAGCAGTATTGCAGATAAGCAGTTCTGAAAAACTACCTAACAAATTTTTCAGAAAAAATGATAATATTTTGTCTTAGTTATCTAGTGCTGCTATAACAGAAATACCACAAGTAGACAGCTTTAACAAAGAGAAATTTATTCTCTCACAGTCTAAGAGGTTAGAAGTCCAAATTCAGGCTGTCACCTCCAGGGAAAGGCTTTCTCTGTCTGTCAGCTCTAGAGAAAGGTCCTTATCATCAATCTTCCCCTGGTCTAGGAGCTTCTCTGCACAGGGACCCAGGGTCCAAAGGACGTGCTATTCTCCTAGCTCTTGTTTCTTGGTGGTATGAGGTCCCCATGTCTCTCTGCTTGCTTCTCTCTTTTGTATCTCAAAAGAGGTTGGCTTAAAACACAATCTAACCTCATAGATTGAGTCTGCCTCATTAACATAACTGCCCCTAATCCCATCTCATTAACACCATAGAGATAGGATTTACAACACATAGGAAAATCACATCAGATGACAAAATGGTGGACAATCACATATTTGTTACGTAAGCAATGCCCTTCTAATTTGCTGAGTTCAATTACGAGCAGATCAAAGATGTTAGTAATTAAAATAATTTTGTATAGTGTTTGGTTGAACAAAATTCAAGGCAGAATTTGTATAAAATAAAGGTTTCAAAAAGACTTTTGGCTTTTGTGTACGGCTACAAACGAAGACATAATAAAAAACAGAATCAAAGTTATTCTTTTCCTTTTCAGTAAAGCATTGAAAGGAGTCAGAAGTTGTTGCAAAGTATCTGTATATTCTAAAATGGTACATTTAAAAAAAAAATTGAAGTTTTTGTTAAAGAAAATTTGAGAATAAAGGTATCATTCAACTGACTTTTGAAAGGCAGTGGGGGGTCTGATGATACTGAGTCTCCTTTGTCCTCAACTTGGAATGTCTGATGATCTGTTTGTTAATAATTAAATCTTACATTACCAGCCCAAGTAACATCTCCTCTTACAAAATCACTACTGACTGGAGTAATTTTTTAATTATCTGACTCCTAAGGCAATGAAGCATGGGCCATCTCACTGAGAAGATAAAGTACATGAAAGGGATTGCACAGTTGCAAAGCACTAGAAAAACATAAAAGGGAACTCTGACTAGATGCCCTGGCCCTCTGGAGGCAATAAATAAATAATGCTAGTTGCGACTTTTCTGACCTAAGCACACCTCAACTCCTGAGCCCAACAGTGTCATTCTGGAGAATGCATTCCATTTTCTAGACCAGACCAACTACAATGTCAATAAATTATAGAATTTTATAGAGGTAACATGTTGTATTAGAAAAATCACCCACTGGAGATTATAAAATCTAGCTCTGGCTCTGCCAATAAATAACCATGAGCTCTTTGGATAGCTACCCAGACTCTCTGGTCTGTGGTTTCCTCATGCTTACGATGAAGGATATGGATCAGATCATCTTTAACCTACTGCCAGCTCGAAAAACAGACATTGCTGTTGATAGGCCCTTAAATTATTTACGATCGTGGCAAAAGGGTCATTTAATTTGATAGTAAATATATTCCAGGATGACTATGGAAGAGAAAAAGAAATGATTTTGAAGTTCTGAGCTCAGCTCATGCCTGGCTTGACTGCAGTTTTTCTCATCCCAAATGGGATATTTTGAAGGTGAAAATGGCACTATTAATAATTACGCTGAGACAGCAGGCATAAACTGGAACTGCCCTAAGCAATCTGGACATATGGTTACTCTAATCTTACCTCAACCTGGATAGAATATTGTTTCAGACAATGAAATGTTCAGTTATGTGAGAACTGAACCCCCAATTTTACCACAGACTTACTTTCATGAAACACCAAATAGATATTACTAATTGGCTTTCAAGTAAATTTAAATAAACCCATATTCAAAGGCTCCACCACCCACTTGTCAGTTTGTCTTACTGTACTGGCTTCAGTGTTGCTATGATGCTGAAAACTATGCCACTGGTATTTCAAATACCAGCAAGGTTAACCATGGTGGACAGCTTTCAGTGGAGCTTCCAGACTAAGACAGACTAGGAAGAAAGACCTGGTGACATACTTCTGAAAATTAGACAATGAAAATCTTATGAATCACTACAGAATACTGTCCTACAGCGCTGGAAGATGAGCCCCCTAGGTTGGAATGCACTACACAACGGCACAACAATAGACTCAAACGTACTAACGATCATGAAGAGAGGGATCAACCTAGACAGAGGACGTACATTTTGTCCTGTAAGTTATCAGGTAGCTCATGAAGAATAATGGTGTAGAACTGCGCAATGTTTCATTCTGTTATATATAAGATTGCCAAGAGTCGGAGCCAATTCAATGACAACTAACAACAACAACAAAATATTCAAACGCTACCTTATTCCATAAAGGACTTGCCACAAAGAGTCACGGGATACGATAAAGGATTCTATTTATTTTCTACAGTGTAGTAAAAAAAAAAGTCCATGTTATATGATAGGAACATTTATAAAAATGTCATTGACACCCGTATGTCCCTTGAATCCTAAGCAAAACGTGAAGATGGATCTTGAAAGGAGGACGAAAAAGAACCTGTTCCATCTCCCTGGTCATGAGCCCAAAGGCAGGCTCTACTTACTTGAATCCCTTTGGCGTCAGGATGCACTTGGAGTCATGTTGGCAGGGGTTCAGATCCTGGGCACAGAAGTCCAGCTTCTCCTCACACAACTCACCTGTAACACGCAACTGCTGTTAGTTCATGGTTAACAGGCTTCCTGTCAGCAGGCTGTGTGATGGATCTTAGAGGTTAGTGCAGCTTGTGCTTGACAAAAAAAAAAATCACAAGGCATTCAACCAGAAAATCCCATGCTGGTTCTGTTGCTAATTAGTCTTATAATTTAGGAAAACGTAACTAACGTGATCTGTGATTAATATGAGCTCCTTCAGAACATACTCTTGGAATTATGAAAAGGAAATCTGAATGTTTTTCTTTTCTATTGTTCTTTTTTTATTTTGAACTTTAAGTATAGCATATACACAAAGATTAAACACACAGTTTAATAAATATTTACGAATCGTAAATGCTTATGTAACCAGCATCCACATCCAGAAACACGCCATTTCCCAGTATTCCAGGAACCTCCCTCATACCCCCTTCTTGTTACAAACTCCCCAAGTGTAACCACTACAATGAAAAGACCATAGATCTGTTGTGTCTATTTTTGAACTTGAGGTAAGTGGAATCACTGCACATGTACCCTTTTATGTCTGGCTTATTTTGTGGTTTTATGTTTGGGGGGATAAAAACGTCCTCAAATCTTCATAGACTCCAGGATCTTAGAAGTCTAGAACAAAAATACTTTGTTTTTATGAATCATCGCAACAGGTCAACAGAAAATTCCTTAGTTACCTCCACAGAACTAGAAAGAAAAAAAAAGTAAGAGGAGAATCAATGTAGATAGAGGACACACACTTTGTCCTGTAAGTTATCAGGTAGCTTATGAAGAAGAGCTTTATCAATAAATGAGAGCTAAAAGAACGCTTCAGATTCTAGACATTCTATGTTGAGTTGTACATCTGCCTATCTCAGGAAATTTCTTCAGATACAAGTAGCATGGTTATATTTTCAGAAATACTAGGCCAAATAAGACTTTCATTGAAATGAAGACTTTCCAAATCAGTATAAGCTATTAAGATGATATATATATATATAAAAAGGTTTACATAAAAATGTAAACAAAATTCTTTCCTTTTCTACCTTACTTGTACATTACTTTTCATTTGTTTTCTATGCAGTAAATGAACAAATGAAGTGACACATCTATGTTGTTGTTGCTACATGTGGCCGAGCTGGCTCTGATTCATAGTGACCTTAAGTATAATAAAGAATGAAATGTTGCCCAATTCTGCACCATCCTCACAATCATTGCTATGTTTGAGCCCATTGTTGCAGCCACTGTGTCAATCCATCTCACTGAGGGTCTCCCTCTTTTCCGCTGACCATCTACCTTCTCAAGCATGGTCTCCTTTTTCAGATTATTCTCCTGATGACATGTTCAAAGTAAGCAAGACCAAAATCTCACCATTCTTGCTTCTAAGGAGCATTATGGCTGTTGTTCCTCCCAGACAGATTTGTTCATTCTTCTGGCAGTCCATGGTATGTCTTCAATATTCTTTGCTACAATTCAAATGCATCGATTTCTCTTCAGTCTTACCTTTTTGTTGTCCAGCTTTCACATCTTTGCTTTGTAACACTTTAAATAGGTCAACAGTATGTCTCGTCTAGTCTTATTGTCCCCATAGTCTGCTTAGCAGAAAACAAGTTGGTCGTTTTGTCTCTGGATTAGCATTTCAGGAATTTCCTAATTCAAATATCTCCATTTAAAATATTCATTGGCTTTAAGTTGGATATAGCACTAGGAAAGGATGCATTTAGAATAATATCTATTCTATTTCTCTAAAAACTAGCTCTTTAAATTCAGGTTGGCTATGTCTACAATATAAGTAACTGTAGATACCAATACATGGTATTGCTGGAACACTTAACCGTTGCTAGCTTCTGCTAGTGTACCTAGACTAGCTTCTTCTCTTTCTGAGATAGATAATCTCTTAGAGTCCATTCTGGGAATTATGGATGCATGGAGGAGGTGGGGAGGGTGCGGGGGTGACAGCCTGTTCTTATTCCTATTCATAAATTGTACCAAACAAGCTTTCTTATTTTTTAAGGAGAAAGGAGAATTAAAATTAATAATAATGAAGAGGGAACTTATGACAGCAATCTGAATAAATGTACAGAATTTCAAACTTAATCAGTTATGACATTTTCAAATATACTTGTAACAAGGGAGGACATCCAGTTGAATTCCGGACAGAATCCCCAGCACACAATTTTTTTTTGGAGGGTCAAATACATCATTCTTCAAATATTTCATTTTCTTGCATGGCTCAGGAAAAGCCTGAATACATGATACTGTATCACTCAACTTGAACTGGCACAGTAAGGGTAGGGATCAAAAAAGTAAACCATTGGATAAAATGAATAACATTTAATTTCTTAAAAGAAATTAAAAGCGTACCCTTTATTAATACTTTTGTACCTCTCCATTCCCATTGCAGTTCTCTGGGTGGTGCAAATGGTTTACTCTCAGCTACTAATCAAATGTTTGGCAGTTCAAACCCACCCAGCAGCACTGCAGAAAAGAGGCCTGGTGGTCTGCTTCTGTAAAGATTATAGCCAAGAAAACCCTATGGAGCAGTTCTACTCTGCAAGATATGGGGCCACCATGAGTCAGAATCGACTTGACACCAATTTTTTTTTTTTTTTTTTTGGTGATTCCCATTGCATTAACTAGCAAATTGCCTGGCACAAACTAGGTCTTCTATGGCTGTTGAAAATGTGAAACATATCACTTATTTGATTGCTTCTTGCAGCAAAAATACTTCTGAAACGATAAGAAAGGAGCCCCAGATGGCATCAAGCACAATGTAAGGAAGCTGAGAGAAGAAGGAAAACTGGCAGTAGATCTGTGTTCTGGAATGCCAGCTGGGCTGGATGGGTGGTCTATTGACTCCCAGATATCCCTCAGTCTCTCCTGTCGAATACTGGCCATCTCCACAGGAAATGGAGAAGATGAGTTTGAGAATTGAGGAGGTGTAACCGTCAGTTACAAGGCATGTTTGAGAAATGTTAAGATGAATGTTTTCTCATTATTGATTTTAAAAAATCAATCCAATTCTAATTTAAAAAGTGTACCTTCTGCATTTATTCTTTATTCATGTAAAGAAAAACATTTTCTTTGGTCACACAGGCCTTGCAATCAAGCAGAGAGAGTGATGAAGTGTGGTAGAGGGTGGACACAGCTGATAGAAATATGGGAGTCATCCTAGGGCAGGGTATTTGAATTGGACCTGAAAGAAAAGTATTTATATTTTCTTTTACTGGACCAGGTCAGCCCTATTTGTGATCTACTCTCCTCAAAGCTATAGTCTGAGGCACCTGACCACATTAACATAGGCAGATGCCTAGTCTCCAATCTGAATATTCAGCATCCTTAAGGGTAGTGCTATTGATAATTGATTTCATCTCCACTGTTAACGGCCTGCTTCTATTTCTTATTTTTTGCAATAGCTTAATCTTCCCCAGGATTCCTTTCAATAATCTGATGGTTTCTTCTCATGTTCATTTTCCTGAAATTTGCCCTATCAATTAATTAACCTTAAAAATAAATCCAAACTTAATTAAATCCGGTTCTTAGTATAGAAATACAAGTAACGGCTCTTGAGGGGTTGTGATTTCTTTAAGGCAAATTAAACCAGTTGCTAGTGAGTCAATTCCAATCCATGGCAACCCTACATGTTTCAGAGATGAACTGTGCTCCATTGGGTTTTTAATGGTTGTGATGTTTTGGAAGTAGATCGCCAGGCCTTTCTTCCAAGGCACCTCTAGGTGGATTAGAACTACAAACTTTTCCTTTAGTAGTCAAGCAGTGCTTAACTGTCAGCACACTCGGGGACTCCTTTAACGTACATTGTTGTCATTGTGTGCCGTCGCATCTATTTCATTCTTAGCGACCTTATAGGACAGAGTAAAACTGCTCCATAGGGTTTCCTAGGATCGTATATTACCCAACGATAAATGTCCTCTTGGTGTGAAAAGTGTGAAAATTGGCACATGTGCATAAGCAGAACAATGCCACAAAGTAACCCTATGAAATAAAACCAAAAAACAAACCAAACTTGTTGCCATCTAGTCCATTCTGACTCATAGTGACCCCATAGCGCAGTCCTACTCTATAGAACTGTCCTATAGGGTTTCCAAGGAGCGGCTGGTGGATTCGAACTGCTGATCTGCTTAGCAGCCAAGCTCTTAACCACTGCACCACCAGAGATAAAGTGAACCATAATTCAAACTAGAAAGACTCAGGAAATCACATTATAAATGTAGACATTAAGATGTTTCCAAGAAGGAACATCTTTTTATGTTGTTCTCATTTTTGTTTTCTAAATGATTTGAAATGAGCTGCTTGATAATGTTTATCTGCCAGAAAGTTTGATCAGTGTTCATATTCAGAAAGAGTGTTTTTCCTTCTGTACTACTAAACTAACGATATTATACTTTTAACTTTCTTAGGATATGAGAGATGATAGTTTTGTACTGTTGAAATACCTGACCCGCTCTGAACTTGCAGTCAAGGATCAAAGCCAAACAACAAAAAAAAATGCTGGTAGACAAGGGTAATGTTTTATGAATTTTCATATCACTTTCGATGCTTAGCACTGTATCCTGCATAAATTGTGCCCTCAAAAAAAATTTGGTGAAAATTTAAAACGGAAGAACTTCTCTCTTCAAATAAATAAACAAAAAAAGATGTGTTTTTCAGTACTTCCTCACTGCAACACTACTGACATCCCAGAAAATATGTGACTCCGTTTTTAAGGTATATAAATGAAGTAAGACAGAATGTAACTTGGTTAGGCTAAACTTTTGTTCCGGGCTCAGTGGGTACTGTCTTGTTAACTACAAAGCAAACAGAACCTTTAATAAAAGGTTTTCTGAGATTCAAATGCATTTCAGAAGGCTTCCCAAAGTTGGAAAATGAATGCAAACCACATAATGTCGGTCATCAGGCTGCCAGAGTAGCCTCTAGTTAGAACCGACTGCAACTTTTCTCTCATTTGGGGCTCTCAAGTATGATTACAGCTATACTGATATTGATATAAAGGCTTTACTGCT